CAATTTATTTAACCCATTTATACCCCCAGAAAAAGTAGAACAGATTTATTTTACCACCGTCAAAATATTCTGGAAAAAATGGAAGGTTTTTCGTGAAAAACAATATGAAAATTATTTTAAATTTTTAAAGCCAGCAAGTATTTTTTCTGCAAGCTTTTTTCTTTGACTAAAAATATTTGGCAGAGTTATTTTAGCTTTTCTGACTATCAGTTATTTTAGACTAAATTACAGGAGATTATGTTGAAACCAATATCGTCTTCTAACTAAAGTACTTCTTTAATAGGTCATGCCTTTCCTTCTTCGTAGAACGAAGGATGAAGTCTTGTCTGATCTGCCAGAGAAAATCATTCAGGATAGATATTGCGACCTGAGCCCTGTACAATTAAAACTGTACGATCAATTTTCTGGTTCACATGTGAGACAAGAAATTTCTAGTATGGTAAAAGGGTCAGGAGACACGGGACAAGGAAGCAGTGTTTCAACTAAAGCATCTTCACATGTTTTCCAGGTAAGATGGTTGTTGATTTATATATGAATTTCGCGTTTAATTCCTGAACATATCTTAGTCTAATATCTCACATATTAATGTTTCAGGCACTTCAGTATTTGCTAAAACTTTGTAGTCACCCGTTGCTTGTCCTTGGAGAAAAGATTCCAGATTCAATTTCATGCCTTTTCTCCGACCAACCTCCTAGTTCTGATATAATCTCAGAGTTGCATAAAACTTGCCACTCTCCCAAACTCGTCGCACTTCAGGAGATTCTGGAAGAGTGTGGAATAGGTGTTGATGCATCTAGTCCTGAAGCTGCTGCGAGTTTTGGGCAGCATAGAGTGTTGATATTTGCTCAGCATAAAGTAATGCTTGCTTTACTTTCACTATTCATGAAACTATATGGTCTTTCTCTGAACTACTTCTCATACAATTGTGGCGTCTCGTGTAGGCCTTTCTGGACATCATTGAAAGAGACTTGTTTCAGACCCATATGAAAAGGTTGGTCTTTGAGTCCCTTTTTCACAGGATGCAAGTCCCTTGCTTTTGTAATAAAACCAATTATTACTATTTAAGATGATAAATAGTATTTCTACGCCATTCCATCATAATTTTATTGGCGATTTTTCTTTTGAAAATCTCCTCCTTTATCAACTATGAGTTCAAATTAACAGGATAATATAGAAGGATCAGTTCCTACAATGGGGTTGAATTAAACACATTCCTAGGCTTATTGAATTGGGGACAGATAGGTCTGTGTTCATTAACATATAGAATCTGTGTAATTATTTACAGACATA